TGTCTATCTACCTATCTGTCATCTATCTCTCTCTCTCTCTGTCCCTCTATCTATCCATCTGTCCAACAATCGATCTATCCACCTGTTTATCTAACTGCCTATCTACCTATCTATCTATCAATCTATCTCTCTCTCTCTATCCCTCTATCTATCCATCGATCTATCTCTCTCTCCCTCTATCTATATATCTATCTATCTATCTATCTATCCATCCATCTATCCATCCATCCATCCATCCATCCATCTATCTATCTATCTATCTATCCTTCTACCCATCTATCTATCCAACTACCCATCTGTCTGTCTGTCAATCTCTCTATCTATTCACATGTCTACCTGTCTGTCTGTCTGTCTATCTATCTATCTATCCATCCATCCATCCATCCATCCATCCACCCATCCATCTATCTATCTATCCCTCTCTCTCCCTCTCCCTCTCCCTCTCCCTCTCCCTCTCTGTCTCTCTCTCTCTCTCTCTCTCTCCCCACAGTGCCCCCCAAATAGAGGGGGGTCGGCGGCACCTGGGCGCTAGCCCATTCTATACCCTCCAAACACCGTCCCCAGCAGGCACCCCAGGGCCAAGGCCACTTCCCCAACAGGCACCCCAGGGCCAAGGCCGCAGCATAGCTTTCTATGGGCTTGCAAAGGTACCAAACCCTCCAAAACGTCTAAACCCTCCAAACACCGTCCCCAGCAGGCACCCAAGGCCCCGGGCCAAGGCCACAGCAATGGCTTTCTATTGGCTTTCAAAGCTGCCGTTTTCCAGCCCGCAAACGCTCCAAAACTCTCCAAACCCTCCAAAACCGTCTAAACCCTCCTGTCGGACCAAACCCTCCAAACACCGTCCCCAGCAGGCACCCCAGGGCCAAGGCCACTTCCCCAACAGGCACCCCAGGGCCAAGGCCGCAGCATAGCTTTCTATGGGCTTGCGAAGGTACCAAACCCTCCAAAACCGTCCAAACCCTCCAAAACGTCCAAACCCTCCAAACACCGTCCCCAGCAGGCACCCAAGGCCCCGGGCCAAGGCCACAGCAATGGCTTCCTATTGGCTTTCAAAGCTGCCGTTTGCCAGCCCGCAAACGCTTCAAAACTCTCCAAACCCTCCAAAACCGTCTAAACCCTCCAAACACCCTCCAAACCCTCCAAACACCTTCCGCCACAGGCACCCCAGGGCCAAGGCCACTTCTCAAACAAGCACCCCGGGGCCAAGGCCCTGGGCCAAGGCCACAGCAATGGCTTTCTATTGGCTTTCAAAGCTGCCGTTTGCCAGCCCGCAAACGCTCCAAAACTCTCCAAACGCTCCAAAACCATCACTCTCCAAACACCCTCCAAACACCTTCCGCCACAGGCACCCCAGGGCCAAGGCCGCAGGCACCCAAGGCCCCGGGCCAAGGCCACAGCAATGGCGTTCTATTGGCGTTCAAAGCTGCCGTTTGCCAGCCCGCAAACGCTCCAAAACTCTCCAAACCCTCCAAAACCGTCTAAACCCTCCAAACACCCCCCTCCAAAGACCTTCCGCCACAGGCACCCCAGGGCCAAGGCCACTTCTCAAACAAGCACCCCGGGGCCAAGGCCCTGGGCCAAGGCCACAGCAATAGCTTTCTATTGGCTTTCAAAGCTGCCGTTTGCCAGCCCGCAAACGCTCCAAAACTCTCCAAACGCTCCAAAACGAGCGCGTCAGGGAAGAGAGGTTGTAGACAACAAGAAATACAACAACGGGTCGGGGATCAGCAGCAGCAGCAAAAGCCTCTGCAGCAGCAGGAGGAAAAGGTAGCCAAAATTCATAGCAGCAGCAAGAGGAAAAAGTAACCAAAATCATCATTTTCTATGCGTTTTCGCTAGGCATTTACGGGGTGCAATTTTGGGGTTTCTCCGTCCTTCACTGCCATGGTGTTTTCCCATCCGGGGACCAGCAGCAGCAGCAGCAGCAAAAGCTTCTGCAGCAGCAGGAGTAGGCAGCAGCAGGCAGCAGCCAGCACCAGCAGCCAGCAGCAGGCAGGAAAAAACATGGGGTTACAATGACAGTCCTAAAAACGGAGGGTACTTGACACTCAAAGTATATATCAATCCATCCGTCTTTCTTCCTATGCCACTATCTATCTATCCAACAATCGATCTATCCATCTGTTTATCCAACTGTCTATCTACCTATCTGTCATCTATCTATCTCTCTCTCTCTCTCCCTCTCTCTCTCTCTCTCTGTCCCTCTATCTATCCATCTGTCCAACAATCGATCTATCCACCTGTTTATCTAACTGTCTATCTACCTATCTATCAATCTATCTCTCTCTCTCTCTCTATCCCTCTATCTATCCATCGATCTATCTCTCTCTCCCGCTATCTATCTATCTATCTATCTATCTATCTATCCATCCATCCATCCATCCATCCATCCATCCATCCATCCATCCATCTCTCCCTCTCCCTCTCCCTCTCCCTCTCTGTCTTCTCTGTCTCTCTCTCTCTCTCTCTCTCTCCCCACAGTGCCCCCCAAATAGAGGGGGGTCGGCGGCACCTGGGCGCTAGCCCATTCTATAATTTATGGATGTTCATCCCCGAGAACTCGCACAACTATGGTATTTCAAAGGGTTTTGGCCCATCTCCAATTGGGCAGGAACAGAACGTCTATCAGAGTTTCGAGTTTCCGCGATCCTCTGCTGGCATCTCACTGTAGAGTCTTGCCCTTTGTGGGGTGGTATTCTTCAAGCGGTCATAAAAATCACAGTTTCAGACCAACAACCTTCCAGCACCTTCCCATTGCATGATGTTTTTTTACAAACTCTCGGCCACTGGTAGCTCTCCAACCCATGCCAGGATCAAGCGTTGTTTTTCTGACGCTTCTATCAAACCCTCATGGGGCGGATGACTATCCTTGAGCTTATGGGCAACTTATCCAAGGTTTGACCATTGATAATATGCTGCCAGATATGGGTATTGGTCAAACCCTGGTAGCCAGCCTGGTAGCCTTTTGTTTACTTCAACATTGCTGGGATTTTCCAGGATGTTCATACCAGCGCAATGCCTCCACTCCCCAGGCCATCATGGCTTTGTTTGCGCGCAGGCAATCATAAAGGTGGAGTTGACCAATCTGCACCGGGTCACATAGTTTGCTGTCGTCTCCAAGTTTCAATAAAAAGACATCAAAATGCTTCAAGCACATACCTCATCATAGACATATATAGAATCGTATATTATATGATATACATATGCAAGATATTCATACACGTCATATTATTATTATGGTACGCCTCGTGTTTTAATACCTTTGAACATCCAAAAACATGTGCCTGTTTGGGTACTTTGGTGGTCAAGGTCGATCAAGGTATGTGGGACTGGCGGAGGCCTTTCTGCAGTTCTCAGCATGGAACTCCTCCTTGTTTGGCGCCTTGTGAAAGTAGAGGTAACCTGCGAATTCAAACCAGAGAAGATCAGAGAGGCCGCTTCAAACAATAAGTATTCTGGAGTGTTGAGTGTTGTTGGGTGTCTCATTCTTCTATGAACATACTCCCTCCGTTTTTTTTACATTTCACTAAAAAATACAGGCCTTCTGCCTTCATGGCACACACATTGCAATGACACCGTCGCCTTTCTACTTGTTTGTTAATCTTTCTATGAGTATGGATCAGTCATTTGGCACAGTACTACATGGGCAGGGGTGGCTCAAATTTATATAAATCACGTGCAGGAATTTGTGGCTTGCGGGGCCCTGGACTTTGGTGTGGGGTCAAAACCCAAACACTGATTGGCCCATCCCCAGTTCACCGCAACCCTTGCCCCAAAGGTCTCATGGCATCCCACAGCCAGCGCACCACCAAAGATCTCATCAGCACCCTCACCACTGAGAACCATCTTGACGCCTGTAGCCCTGGAATGCGATGATGGAATCTGTTCATTTGCCACTTGAGAAACTGCCTAGAGAGACTGATGTTGCTGTTGTCGGTGATTCCTGTTATCATGGTCGTGACCATGACCATGAGCATGACGATGGTATTGAAGACTTGTGACGACGAGGATAATGGTGCTGACAATGGTGCTTGTAACATCTTAACCTGACAGATCCTATCCAGTGGGTGCAGTCGAACAGTCGAACTGTCAATCAGATCTGGTTGGTGGTTTTAGCCGTATTGAAAACATATTAGTCAATGGGAAGGATTACTTTTCACTTTCATGTTGCTGCACGAGATTGTGCTTGGTCCTTGCCAGCATGCAGTGACACCAAAGTGCGTGGCCCTACTCGTGGTAGTCAGGCTGTACAATGCCTTCAGGCATAAAATCGGCCACAGCAAATTTGGAAAAGTCCTCCGGTAGCATGGGAGATGTGTCCATTCCATCAAACGTGCTACGGACAAATGAATTAATGGCTCTTGCCAGGGCATGGTTGAGCCCTGGGGGATAAATCTTCGCCCTAGCCGTTCTAAACTCTCCTCCTTCGTCTCGGCCTGCCATGCGTTCATGAGCACAGGGTCCATGCGAGCAGCGACCTCCATGTCCTCCCTCCAAAGCAATCTGCCTGAACTTCGGGAGTCGCACGTGGAGAATGGTGGTGGGTTTGACCGCCACGCTGCCCAGGGTGCACTGGTCGAAGGACGTGATGCCCACGCATTCCAAGGTCCGCAGGAGCCTAACCTCTCTGCTACTCCAGATGCTTGAAGGATCTTTCCGAGCTGCCCATAAAGGGAACTGCGGATGTTCCAAGAAACCAGCGCCTCCATGCTTTGCAAGGTGCACAAGCGCCTCAAGCAAGAACCTGATGAGTCTCGACCCTACGATGCATTGTTGCCACTGCTTGTGCTTCAGGTGTGGAAAACCTAAAGGCCAGGTTCCAGAGCGCAATGGCGGTGGGCCGCCTTCCAGGAGCCGAGCGGCGGTAAAAGTTTCACACGGGGGGCCGCCTCCCATCCCGCAGATTTGGCCTATGGCTATTTGATGCATCCAAAACTGGAAAGCTTTCGATGACGCCAAATTGCCTTCAATCTTTTGAAGGCACATGTCAATGGAAATCACAAAAAATGTGTATGTTCCCAGACCTGGTGTTCCAGCATTTGATGCAAATCCCCATGTCTTCTATAGCCGGAGAAGACATGCACAAACACCAGCGTCTTGATGTGCAATCTGGCGTACTCACTGGCTAGGCTTCTGGCTGCGTATCGTCCCCCACCATTGTTGGGTCCGGCGGCTGATTGAAACACAAAGGCTGGCAAATCGGCCTCAAAGAGAATAACCTGTGGTGTCTCTGGAGGAGCATCGGTACGCCTCCCTTGCAGGTTCTCATACGCAGTCCCCACACGGGGCTGCCTGGCTGTCCATCTTTGCTTCATTTGGGATGCATCTTGCGAGTCAGCTGGCGGGAGCAAAGGCCCCTGTAGCCTGGACACGGGCTCCAGGGCCTTGGTTGCCCACCACCCTTGCTGTCGCATGTTGAGGGTGTGCGCATGGTCAAGTTGATCCAATTCTTGAACCGTAGCATCATCCAGGGCGGGAAAGCATGCCTGTAGGACGGAAAGGCAGGACAGCACAAACTTCAGGTGCTCAACCAGTCGTTGCCTGGAATGATATTTCTTACCACACGCATTGCAAAGATCATCGACTGCATAAAACTTGACAATTCGTCTATAACCGTGGACTCGGCCAGAGTGGGTGGCCAATGCCTTTTTACTGGCGAATGTCTTGGGGCATTGGTCACATGCCCAGGTTTCATGCTGTAGAGACTCACTCTGTGGCAAAATGCCTCCTCCGGCCAGGAAGGCGCGGTCAAATCGTTTCTGCCATAGGTGATGTTCGGCAACAGCTTGGCGGAACCGCTTGCACGCCCTGGTAGCGGCTCGCACCCTGCCCTTCCACCTGGTATCCATGGCAACATAAGGAATCCAGTCAAGGACGGATTCACTCTCGCTGGGCCCAAAGGGCCGGTGGTAGAACTGTCTAAACCAGGCAAAGGATCCGCTGCATGCGGCTAACCATGATGTCTGGGCGTCTTTGGCGGCTACCAGGCAAGTCCAGAGTGCTGTTGGACAATACTGCAGCAGTCTACGGAAGTAGCGTAGTCGTGCCACATGAACTTGATCACAAGGCGCCAAAATGTCAGCGATGCCAAATAAGTCCAAGGTGTCAACATGTGTGGGCGGGGTGCCCATGAGCATGTGCTTCACCATGAGACCGATGGGTTTGCGCATGTGGTTTTGCCATTTTGCCCAATCTGCCGCACTTGCGGCGCACCATGTGTGCACATTGTACGTAAGTCTCGAAATGGACAAGGCTTGGAAAGCTTTACCTTTGGTGGCCATCGAGACATACGGTTTGCTGTACATTGGTTTGGCCAGAGAACCCCAAGCAGATTTGGCCAAGGAGGCACGTGCATAGATGTCTCTCGCACACCGTGGTGGGGCTTGCATCCACGTGCCAAGGTGCCGGTATGACTGCGTGACACTGAGCCGGAATTCCTGGTTAAGTCCATGCCAGTGAAGGAAGCCTCCTTGTGCTGCAATATTCTGCTTTGTGCGAGTGGAACCTTTGCCGGCAATGGCCCACAAAACTTCTGTCTTGCCCTTGTCAAAGTTGAGCGTCATTCCCCTCCTGCTGGTGGCGTGGTGCATGGCCATGGCTGCGTGCTGGATCAGGTGAACCAGTTCATCTAGCGTCGGTGCATGAAGGGCCAGAGCAGCATCATCGACATACGCCAAGTCAAGGAATCCAGTCGGCGGCATTTCACATGCGTCTGAAAAGGATGATGTGTGGAGCGGGGACCCCATCCACTGGCAATGGGTGTGCTGAATAAACCACTTCCGGCAGTCTTCCATCACAAGCCGCATGATCATGTTGAAAAGCAAATCACCTAGGGGGTCACCAGGCCGTGTCCCTCTGGTGGTGCAGCATAAATGCGACAGGTGGTTGACCTGGAAGTATGTGTGGCTCATTGTATCTCTGACGAGGTGTTGCAGATGCGGGGAAGCCCCTTCTGTTGCATTTTCGTCTCCGGTGGCCGCTAACCATGTCCGGATTTCATCCTGGCTGACACCTAGTCGACGCAGGGCGTGGATAAGGGCAGTGGGGTCTTGCGGCAGGTGCACAAGGGATTGCCTCAAGACAGAGTAAAAGGCAGACCTCATATCGAAAAACACCACGGCTGTGGGTGTGCGGTGCACATGACAGGCTGCTTGGTGTGCTTCGAGTAGATGGTGCGCGAGGTCGGTGCCCAACCCCTTGCGACTTCCCAATTGCAGGGCTGAAATCTTGGCCTCCCACACCGCTTCGAGCTGTGTCCGTATGGCTCTGTGGTATAGTTTGCCCGTGTAATTTGAGATAAATATTGAACGGTAAGACAACGGGTTATCCGGGGGGCCCTTGCCCTTGTGGAGCGGCACAAGGCGCCCACCACGCCATGCAAATGGCTCAGTAGCATGGCTGGCGGCCTTCGCCGTAAGCAATGCAAATTGTTTGGCAAAAACCGGGCCAGCGGCTTTGAGGATGGATGGTGTGAGGCGGTTGGGGCCTGGGGTCTTACCTCGCTTCAACTTGGAAACAGAAGCTTGGATCTGCCATGCAGTTGGGAAGCAAGCTGCCTGTTGTGTATCAGTCGGCATGGGCCCGTGTGTCGAGACCTCCCGGACCTGGTCAGGGCTCACCATCACGCCAGCTTCAATTGCAGAAAACTGTTCAAGCCACATATGTTGCTGTTCCGTGAAGCTTTGCGCTGGGGTGCCATCTGGCTTTTTCAACATGGGGATCGGTCTGTTAGGAGTGGCACGTTTATGGCGTTTCCCTCCTAATCTGGTGACCGCGGCATACATGGCTTTAAAGTCCCCAAGTTGACCTGCCTCCTGCATGTGGACTAAAAGTTGATCGAAAATGGCAGTGAGGTCAGCATGCACAAGCCTACGGACATGGAGCTCAAGCGCTTTCAACTCAATCTTGAACTCGGGGTCATGCATGAGGCCCATGGCACGGCCGCAGTCCAGGACATGTCTTTTCATAGCAATCGACTGTTGCGTGTTGGGAGACAGCTGCGGCCTTGTGCGTTTGGCATGCTTCTTCTCGAAAAACTGCCGGGCCAATGCAAGAAGCTGTGACTCGTAAATGACACTGTGGTCGTTTGGGTGTACATTCCAAGTAGGCAATGGCAAGGTGGCCAAGGCTTGCTGGAAAGCCATACATCGGTCGGGCATTAACATGGCGTCCTCATCCCACCTGATGTGTGACTGATTGCAAGCTAGGGAAGTCCAACCCTTTGCGTCAACTGCGACTGGGATATGATCATCATGCGTGAACGTCCCATCATAATCAGGCATGGTGTACGATTTTTGCGTGAGCTGGAATGCGGCCAGGTTTGCCAACACGTAGTCAATACGGTATTTGGCTCCACTGGAATGTGACCAGGTGGCATTGGGGCCGTGGTGCAAGTGGGCAAACGTGGACGGGACGTATAGGCTGGTGTCCTGAAGGAACGCTTCAAAACACTCTGTTTGTGGGCCAGTGCGATCAGCACCATGCAGCCCAAAGAACTGTGTGCTTTGTGTGGCTAACCCGGCATTGGCGTCAACGCATACCCAAATGAAGGTGGTGGGTTCGGCAGCATGCATCATATGGGATGTGCTCGCCCACCATTGCTGGATTTTGTCAACTGGGAGAATGCCATCACCTTGTGACTTCTGAAGGCATGGAGCATGCAGCACTACAAAAAGGATGGAACAATAGTCGAAATCAACCCGAGCCAGCAATCTGCGGGGGTCTGCATGCTGGACGGCAACACGACCATCGCACAGTTTCAAGGGTGTGTCATCGGGTCCCTTGGCAAAGGGGAGGAATTTATGCAACCAGAGTTCACAGCCAAGCTGGGCAGATGCAGGTCCATGACCACCGGATGCGAAAATATGATAATGTTCACTTTGGAACTTTCCTGTGGCAGTTCTTGCTTCTTGAACCCCGACAACATGCATGCCTGCCTCATGGACTTGCAAGTCAATGCGAGCAGTTCGGCTACCTTGGCGCCTGCCGATCTCATTGTGTTGCTGGGTATGCTCGAGGGCTAATACATTGATAGAGGCTATACGGAGCTGCAACATGCTATGCCGGGCATCGTCTACATCCTGCGTCGTGCATCTCAATTGGGGCGGATCAAATGCTGGCAACTGGATGACTGTGCGATCAAACCTGGGCGGCATGCATGCTTGAAATTGGCTGGACTCAAAGGCGGTCCAGTCCCATGCAACGTCATGTGGCTCAAGGGCCAGGGTATGAATCTCGGCAAAGTCAAAGGAAAACAGTTGGGCATTGTCCGGATATGCGCAAAATTTGGCGATGCTGTCTGCCAGATCGTTCCAAGGATTCATGGTATGCCCTCTGACCTCCAGGTAGGAGGAGCGTGGCTGATTCCATATCGCCAGCAGGGTGCATAATTGGGCAAGCAGCGGGTGCGCAGTGGTGGTGTGCGTTTGCTGTGACAGTAGTCGGCTAAGGCTCAAGTCGGGTCGGATGCAAAACTCAGTGGTGCTGGCGTGTTGCAACACGATGGCTTGAGCTGCAAGGAGCGCGGTCAACTCTGCGGCAATGTTGTCAGGTCTAGTGGCTCCGACCCACTGGTGATCCTGCGGGCTTAAGGCGACAGTACCGCCTGTGACTCCTACCAGGCGATGTGAATCATCCGGCGGGTGACCAGTCTTGGCAACGACGACCACGGCCCATCCTGCATGTGCTGGACCTGTGGAACCGTCAATGTACAGCTCAAAACTGTGATCCTCCAGAGGGGCTGAAGCTCGCCTCTATGCTCTGGGCAATAGCAAGCACGGTGGACGGGGGGAGCATGACTTGACTGGGGACCGACTGGACAACATTAGACAGGGACTCGGCAGTAGACACTTTCCAGGATGGTCTAACAGACCACAGCAATGTGGACGTATCTTCCTGAAATGGGACGTCGCCGACCGAAGGCGTTGGAATGCAAGCGTCAAGACACAACAAAACTGGTGCATGGACGGGCGTGATGGGCATTCCTGGGTTATTCCTGTCTACATGCTCTCGCGGGGGAGATGGACGCTCTCCGGGCTGAGGCTGGGCTGTGTGATCTTGCCAAGGATCGTTGGCATTTGGTCCGTCAGGCAAAGGGCGGTGGACAGCAACAGCCACCGCGTGTCCATTCACAATAGGCCTCTCATCTATGGGCAGGAGTTCCTCCCTGCCAATCCATGCATCACATCGATTTGCGGGGTCTTGACAGTCAATGTCCCGGTATGCAAGTCCAACCAAGGTGGTGAAAGCCAGCGGTGTTGGCGCCATGGTCGCAAACCGGTCGGCCTGGGCACCAAGGAATGCTGAATCGAACAATGACAGGAGGACCGACCTGAACCCTTCAACGGGCTGCTGGACAAGGAGGACATGAGCGGCAACATCTGGTGCGTTCTGTGGTGGTTGGGGTTGGACGATGTGGAAATGCAATGGCTCATATGGCAAAATAACATCATACCACAAGCGTCTCATCTGCCGAAGCCATCCGGCAGGGTCCCCACTGAGGCGTGCCACACGTGACACAAAGCATTGGGGGAATCGAATATGGTCCAAATACCACGTCACAATAGCCACGGTAGGTCCGGTTGCATCTGGGGACAACAGGGAAAGTGGCTGCCAGAGTGCTTGCAAATATCCATGAAACGGCAGGCTATCCCATGGACTGGTCACAGGTGTTTGAGTCGGATTCTGGGTGATGGAAATATCGGAAATGGGGCAATCGTGATTGGGGCATTCATCCATGACACACTTCCTAATCCCTCCCACGACTGCATGATGCAGCTTGTGCATGTGAGCCCGGACTGCTTTGAAGGAGAGCTGTATTAAGGCCATGTCATCCCTCCATGCGTCTTCAACTTCAGTTACAATCACATCAAAATGATAACCATTGCGGACATGGAAAGGTGACCGGTTGTCAAGCACAATGGATGCATGCCTCACCTCGACCTGCTGGTAGTTCCGCATTGGGTTACTAGGATGTGAGACGTGGGAAATGAAGGCAATCTGCTCAACGGTGGTCTCAGCATCTAGCATTACGGCCAAGTATGTGGGATTCCATGGATCGACATGAAAATGAACAATAGACAGCAAAGCAGCCCTCCACAAGTCATTAGGGGTTTGCACGATAAGAACATGGGCATGAATTTCATTGGTGCTGGCTGCAGGCGTCGGCTGTACTACATGCAAAAAGATCGGCAACTGAGGGTTCAAAGTGTCCTGCCAACGAGCTACAATGTCAGTGACCCACGTGTGAGGATGTTGACGGAGGCTGACAGTGCGTGGCTCTGCAGACCGGGTGACCCGAAAGGAGTCCAAAAACCATGTCTGGACACGCATGATGTTGTTACCCTCGGTTACACAAGAGTCTTGGCTATGTTGCATCATCCACTGCAATGTATTCCGAAACTCTCTGGAGTCTGCAACGTGCAAAGGAGGCTGCGTGGCAGGTGGTCTGCGGTCAATCACTGTGTGCAGCGATCGATGCCATCGCCTGTTTCTCTGCATGATTGAAGTCTCATCACCAAGGGTCTGCGTGTCGGCCGGGCTCTGGCTGGGCAGTGCGCTATCCGAACTGGAGCCAGCATGGGGAGGAGGTCCAACGACCAATGTGACACTGATGCCTGAAAAAATTTCTTCAAACACATGCTGATGAAACCTTAAAATGCCGGAGAACATGTTGCATGGGCGAAAATCGCAAAAATGATTCAACCTGTGCTTATCGATCATGTACTGGGTACAAATGCTGGGATCAACTGATTCAGCCATCTGCAAAACTCCATTGCGGTAGTTAGCCAAAAAAATGGCTGTGAACACCGCTGCAACTTTACTTGGAGTAAAGTGCTGTTCCAAGAGGATGTGCAACTGGGCTCGAGGCTGAAGCTGGTTGTCAGGACGAGGACGGACAATATGGACTCTGATCGGGTCATGACGTATGATACGGTCCCACCATGCGTTGCAGAGATCTGCATACCATAATTCCCGCATTCCATCTAACTCAACCATTCTGGGCGCATGACAGACTGGAAACTGTTCATGGTTCACGTACCACACATTGACAAACAAAGTGGGTCCAGAGTCGACATGGGCAACTTGAGCAAGTTCATCAAACAGAGATTCTAACTCAATCTGCCAGCTGGGCCGTGGTCGCTGAGGTGGGTCAGGAGGAATATTGGCAGGCATGGCTTGCGTGAAGCTAGGAGGGTTCTGTTCATGTGATGTGCTGCACTTGGCTTTGCACTTGGCTTGGCACACATGCTTGTCCCATGGGACTGACCCCGCAGGAGACCTACCAAAGAAATGATGCAACGTGGTCTGTGTCCTGCTACCATCCTGTTCGTGTGTGACCCGTGGTGATGGTTCACCTGGCTGGGCAACCCGATCATGCATGGCTTCATGTGTGCAATTGTAATGATGGGTATCATGATCGATTGCAATGGCATGATGGGGCGGTTGAGTGCCCTTCTGAATGGCGTCCGACCCTGCAGTGGCATCTCCATGGGCGCCATTTTGCACTTCATCACTCTCTTTCTCGTCTATGCGGTGGCAGGCATCGGCATAGATTGGGAGCGGCAAGCTCTGCAAGCATCGACGAATCCTATGCACATTGGGACAGGCAAAGCGGCGGCTTACAGTGACCTGGGCTAGGAAAGTGTCATCGTCATATTCAAGGTCGTCCTGCAGTAAGTGCATGAAGGCATCGCTCTGGGCGTCATGTTGTACAATCGCTGCTGCAGTCCTGGTGTCTACATCGTACCCCTCAGGTGGTGGCACTTCGATCATGGCATAAGATCCGTGCCTCAGGGGTCTGGGCTCTAAGGCAGTGATTGGCCAGCGACTACCATCGAGGTGCACTACGCAGGAGTCTTGTAAAAACTGGCAATATTGGTGTACTGCAGCAGCCAATAAAATCTGGGGCCTGATGACCTGGTGTGGCAGACGGTGAACCGATCGAACTACCGTGGGCCTATTGGGTTCATGAGGTCTCACAGGGTGGAGATAATACACTGTGTCAATGAGAATCAACCTGTCTGTGGAGTGCAATGGGAGATCTCCAGTTCTCTGCAGGATGGCCGGGATGGCCAATTCTGGGAACTCATACGGCCGGGCGATCATCATGTGGACAGCTTCGACGCAATCAAACGGCACGTCGGCGGCATCAGCAATTTCCCTAGATGGGCTTGCAAGCTGGGCATTTACCAGGTCAACAATGACCTCATGCGCATCAAGCTGAAACAAGTGCAAAGGTGTGATGAACCTACGATGAGTTGGGTCATCATACAATGGATGTTCAGGCGTGCTAAAGGTCAGATTGGTAGATGCATCAACACTGGGTTGCATCGGCGGGTCACTGCTGGAGGATGCATGGGCAGAACTACTCTGGCTCGGGGCTAGCTGCAATCTGCCAGGCCGGATTGTCACCTGGAAGCCATCACCTGGACGCATGATGTGTTGAGGGCGCAATGAATGCGGGATCTCATCCCATCCGAACGTGATCGTGCAAGGATGGTATCGGCACATGCTGGCTGCATCAGCTGCGAGGACAATGTCAAAACCGCTAATAAAGTCAGCAAACGAATAGGCAACTGAAAAGAGCTCAAACGAGTGGGCTTGTTCGGGCATGACAGTCACAAGTCCTGGAAACCTATCCATATGCAGTGATTGCGTCAAAATTGCATCGATCATGACAAACTGATGCCTGGCTGTCCTGGGCGGGTCAGGGTCCACAATTGATAGGTCAAACTAATCGTCTGGGTTTATTTGGTCGACCCAGACAGAGGAAAATTGCTGCTCCCATGTATGAGGTGGTCCTACCAGCTGCAAAATCCTGGGGGATGTCCACCTACGCATTGTGACGTGATCAATGAACCATGTTCTGATGGGAATTTCAAAGTCTCTGTCGAAAACAGCAAATCCTAACTGCATGAAACGCTCAGTCAACCGGCGCAGAAAAGCAGGCTGTGTGGCATGATCTGCAGGGAAGTGGTCTTCCTCCTGATCCTCATCATCGGGATCGTCATGCTGTGGCAACCACCCGATGGGGCTTTCATGTTCCCTCCTGCACTTAGAAATAAACTTTGATGGCATGTGTGCAAAAGACTGTTCATGAAACGAAGCTCTCATGCGGAAGGTCATTGGAGTAAAGTCTGCTGCATGAATATGCCGGTGTTCCTTAACCTGTGCTTCAGAGGTGGTGCGGCTGGATTCAGATCTCGGCAACACTGAATTAAGACAGGAGTTCGAGAAAGGCCAGCTGCAAACCTGGGTCAGGGCATGTTGCGCGGCAATTTCATTCTGAGCACTCTGGCAGGGCTGTACACGCTCAGGCACAAGGACATGTGGATCTAATGACCATGGTTTGTTTCTCATGACCAAAGAGTCCTCAGGAATAGAAAGGTGGTGAAAATCCCATTGATCCTCATCGCCTATGTACAGATCGAGGTCAGAGCAAAACTTGACATGACGTGCTTCAACATGGCGTCTCTTGCTTTGACTGAAAACACCTTCCGGATGTACGCAGAGAGCGTAATGCAAGGAAAAACGTTCACTGATCTCAGCATGATCGGAGAAGGCTATGGGGCCTAGCTGCGCGGTCCTGCTTTTTCCATCTGCTAGATTGTTGTCCCCGATTCTAAAGATAGGGACTTCAACCTTAGCACTGCGGCGGGTGGATGTGTCATCGTGAGTGGTGTGCATTGACAATGGAACACCACCTAGTGCAAACTGGGGCACTTGTCCTTCACATGGTGTGATCTGACCAGATCGACTGACTTCGCAGTGACTAGTCGGCAAAACGTCACCCAAGTGGTCAAAAACCGTGTTCACATCAAAATTGGGGTTTTCGTGCATTTGTCTATTACAGGCGGAAGGCACGAAATCCGTGAATTGCAGGCCGGAATCTTCGAAGAAGTGATTATTGGAACTACACTGTTCGGACTCACGGGCACAACTCAGCTGAGGACGAAATGGGGAGGCGTATTTTCCATTTGCAGAGAGTCTGACATCATCAAAACTGACCTCAAATGCTAAATGAAAAGCTCTGTCTGCGGCTGACCACTCATCAACAAAATCATCCTCGGAGACAACCGAGTGATTCCACTTCAAGACAAGCTGACTCCATGGTTGCGCATCATGCGCAAGCAGGGTTGCTTCATCGGCCAACGCTGTAGGAGCAGGCATTACAGGTTTGGTTATCCCCATGAGATCGCATGACATTGGGTGCCCTTGAGCAATACTCGGTGTAAAGGTATTCACTCGGGCCCCCCAAAAGACGGGGACTTTCCATCGTCTGCATTGCCAGCGGCTGACTGCTCTGGGGCTGTCATGCGTGGTCTCTTGCGCATTTGGTCTTGCTCGACTTCGAGCTGCACAGCTTGTTCGGCTTGCTTGTGTAGTGTTTGTAGGCTGGATGCCAAGTCCTGAAAGCTCGCTGCTATTTTCTGCCCTGCAGAGGTTTCGGTGAGCTTGGGATCCGAGTCCTCGGCATCGCTCATCATCGATGCGTCTTCCTTGGTGTCCAGGCCTGCGGACGCCTTGCAGGCACCAAGGTTGTCTTTTGCGGCCGTCAGATTTTCTTGGGCCGTCTTGAGCCTGTCCATCATTTGACGCTCCTGCTGCATGAATTGCTCTGTGTATTTGGACCATTGGTCCACTGATTGGGCCAAGAAGTTTTTCCATGCGGCATGCATGGCCAGACGTGCTGTCTGGGCTTCCTGCAATTCTTTCTTGGCTCTGCCGTGTTGTGATACCGCGGAATGTAGGAACTTGGTCTCTTCCTGTCCACTCCGGATTGTCACTTCCTTCACCAAAGATTGCACTTCCTCTGGCAAGTCGTCCTTGCATCTTCGGAGTGCGGCAACCAGAGATTTCATATTCTTCTCTCTCTCTTTGTCCTCCTTGTGTTCGAGGTTGGCTGCATGGTGAGGGGCAACAGAGCTGGTGGTTGCCGAGGGCGCCATCCCAACCCACCATGGCGGCTCCAGCGATGGCATAGCCGGTGAAGGCTGTGGTCCATAGCTTGGCTGGGTTTCGGCAGGGCTTCCTCGTCCTTTGCCTTTGGGGGCATTGCTCCATGCAACAGGCTTCTTGGATCTCCTCCTCGAGGATTGGCGTCTGCGCGGTGACTGAATCCATTGGTCTGCTGGCCAGTCTTCCTCCATATTCCAGTGGTCTTGTCTCCACTGAACTTGTCTTTGCAACTGCCTGGGGGCTGGTGCCACGAAGTCTTGGTCCAAGCAGGCTCTCCAAGGCTGACCACATTGAGCACAACATTCGTGTTTTCCCGAACAGATTCGCTTGCACGGGAGGCATCTCCATGGAGGCAAACTGGAAGTCGCCATCGCTCTGGATAGTTGGGCAAGGAATGTAGGATCCTTCGAATGGTGTTTCTGAAGGCGCAGCTTGAGGCTTCGGATTTGGCTCACTGTCAAAACCTGAAACCCTTTCCGATGTAAAAACCACTGTCTGCGGGCTGTAGCCCTTTGCCGCCTTTGCGCCCGCCTTCTTGTTGCAGATACCGTGTTGATGAAACGTGGATTGCAGCACAAGAGGTTCCGTACAAAATTGCACAAAGTCGGCAAGGGAGACAAACGCAATGATAGTAATGACCAAAATCAGGAGAATTGATCCCATTCACGTTCGAAAACGACGATCCAAGTGATCGGTTCACTTGCAGAGACCAGAAATCAAGATTGAAATTGCCAGATGGTGCGGGGAAACCCAATGAAGAGGACGCTGCAGACGCTGTCAATGCAACTGTCCAAGTTCAAAGCGGAAAAATCCGGTGTATGCCCACCGCAGAAGCCAGCAAAAATCAAAAATTGTATTGTATTGTATCACTGTATGGCCAGTGCAGAACCGGTAAACAAAGAAAATTGAGAATTGAGCACAAATAAAAAAGGTTGTTGCACCAAAAACCCAAAGATCCAAGTGATCGGCTCACTTGCAGAGGCCTGTGAAATGTCAACCCAAGTGATCGGCTCACTTGCAGAGGCCAGAGTCAAATGTGACAAGGACGTATCCGTGCGGTCAGCAATTCAAAATGCAGTGAACGCAGGATAGATAAGGACCAAACCAAAATTGAGTCCCGTGGGTCACGCAGTGGTCAACCCACTGAGGCAATGGCGCACAAAACCGACCGACAAAAGGAAAAGCGGGGGGTCTAGTTTTGGGCCAGAACCTTGGGAAGGATTATCCCATATATTACGGAAAATAAAAAATGTTGGAAACCACCAACCAGAGATTTCTCCTTGCCTAATCCGTCTGGCCATGAGGTACATGGGTGTTGAAGCGCGGATGGTGGTCACGTCGAAGGTCTCCAAATGGTAGATGACCTGTCAGCTGCAACCCACCAGTGGAATTTTATGGACACACTGAATCCATGGCATGCAGAACGATCCACTTCAAAACCAGGAGTATTTGAATCAATATTATTATAGTTATTTTCATTGTTTAAATCAAATAATATTATATTTTTATAATTTACAGAATAAATCTGCACACATCTGCACTATGTTTGTTGCGGAGCGTTTTTTCCCATACAAACTGACTTTACCTTGGAGCCATCCGGTCTCATGCCGCTATCTGTATCCTTGTATACCCTCCAAGAAACTACATTTCAGCAGGATATGGTACTATATCCAACTCCTCCATCAGAACCGCCAGAAGATTAACCTACTATATGACTATATCCTACTATCCTCCAGTAAATCAACATACAAATGGGAAAATTCCCTTTAACCTATAAACATCCACCAGTCAGCTTACCAAAACATTCAGGTTTTCGTAGGGCCAGGACGTCCGGTAGGGCATCCAAGGCTTCTTCGATGGTGAAGACGTACTCATGATGCACCGTTCCGAGGAAGTTACTCACCTTCACTGAGTGTTGGAGGATCATGGGCGTCTCTTACCCAGGTTAATGGGATAACCGAAGGAACGGGGACTTAGCAACTCTTAGCAAACCCGGGTTGTTAAACAGTTACGATTTGTTGGATGACCCTGAAAGGTTATGTTTGAAGCACCCAAAATCGTCTGAACATGGGAACTGTACGGACCAATTTTGAGCATTTTTAAGCAGGCCCCAAGTTGACAACAGAACCTCCGGGGTGTCCCAATCTTCAGGTGGGAATCAACAGGATACCTGTTGATACCCTGGAAGAAATTTCAAAGAACCAAAAGTCAAAAGTCAAAGCTCATCACCAAATATCGCCAATAATTTATGTCTCATCACCAATAGCACATCTTCAATGTTTAGCCAATTTCCTTGGGGCTGCATTTTTTTTGGGGATTTGTTTCCCGTTTTTTTTTTGGATTTTTTTCCCGTTTTTTTGGGTTTGATGGTTTTGATTGGTATTTGCAGCGTTTTGCAGCTAAGCTCTCTGATTTGCATGGTGTTGTTGTTGTTGTGGTGGTTGGATGGATGGATGGAAGGATGGATGGATGGATGGATGGATGGATGGTTGGTTGGTTGGTTAGTTAGTTAGTTGGTTGGTTGGTTGCTTGGTTGCTTGGTTGGTTGGTTGCTTGGTTGGTTGGTTGGCTGGTTGGTGTTGGTTGTTGTTGTGGTTGGTGGTTGTGGTTGTGCTTGTGCTTGTGCTTGTGGTTGTGGTTGTGGTTGTGGTTGTGGTTGTAGTAGTAGTAGTAGTTGTTGTTGTTGTTGTTGGTGTTGGTGTTGTTGTTGTTGTTGATGATGTTGTTGTTGTTGTTGTTGTTGGTTGTTGTTGTTGTTGTTGGTGGTGTTGGTGTTGGTGTTGGTGTTGGTGTTGGTGTTGGTTGTTGTTGTTGGTTGTTGGTTGTTGGTTGTTGGTTGTTGTTTGTTGTTGTTGTTGGTGGTGGTGGTGGTGGTTGTTGGTTGTTGTTGTTGGTGTTGTTGTTGTGTTGTTGTTGTTGTTGTTGTTGTTGTTGGTTGGTGTTGTTGTTGTTGTGGTTGTGGTTTTTTGGTTTGTTTTTTGTGTGGTTCTTGTTGTGGGGTTTCTTGTTGTTGTTCTTGTTGTTGTTTCTTGTTGTTGTTAGTTGTGGTTGTGGTTGTGGTTGTTGTTGTTGTTGTTGTTGTTGTTGTTGTTGTACGTGTTGTACGTTTTGTTGTTGTTGTTGTTGTTGTTGTTGTTGTTGTTGTTGTTGTTGTTGTTGTTGTTGTTGTTGTTGTTGTTGTTGTTGTTGTTGTTGTTGTTGTTTGTTGGTTGTTGGTTGTTGGTTGTTGGTTGTTGGTTGTTGGTTGTTGGTTGTTGGTTGCTGGTTGCTGGTTGTTGGTTGTTGGTTGTTGGTTGTTGGTTGTTGGTTGTTGGTTGTTGGTTGTTGGTTGTTGGTTGTTGGTTGTTGGTTGTTGGTTGGTTGGTTGCTTGCTTGGTTGGTTGGTTGGTTGGTTGGTTGGTTGGTTGGTGTTGGTTGGTCAGGTTGTGGTTGTTGTTGTGGTTGGTGGTTGTGGTTGTGGTTGTGGTTGTGGTTGTTGTTGTTGTTGTTGTGGTTGTTGGTTGTTGGTTGTTGGTTGTTGGTTGTTGTTTGTTGTTGTTGTTGGTGGTGGTGGTGGTGGTTGTTGTTGTTGTTGGTGGTGGTGGTGGTTGTTGTTGTTGTGGTTGGTTGGTGTTGTTGGTTGTTGTTGCTGTTCCTTCCTTCCTTCCTTCCTTCCTTCGTTCCTTCCTTCCTTCCTTCCTTCCTTCCTTCCTTCCTTCCTTCCTTCTGCTGTTCCTTCCTTCCTTCCTTCCTTCCTTCCTTCCTCGCACCTTCCTTCCACCAGAAAACGGGAAAAAAATCAAAAAAAAAAACGGGGAAAAAAACCCAAAAAAATAGACCTCCATTTCCTTGTGGTGAGCCGTGACTCTGGAACTGGATTCCCCGTTCATGGATTATGATCATCCCCTGCTTTTTCAGCGTACATCATCAATCAACCACCGCGCACTTCTATCCCCAGATGCTGATGTTTTTGTTCGAACCCCTAGACTTATTGCCCTTAACAGTTACAATTATAATTATAACCTTATTTAAGTGATATTTGTCACCTTGGTTACAGGATGTCATAACCAACTAACCAACCCTGCCATTTTGTCTGGAACACGCAACGTTCAACTGCGCAAACACACGACCTCTTTGGCGGCCTTCAAGTCGGGACCTGGGCATTTTTATGCAATGATCATTGGGGAAAGGTGGACTTTGAGCAGCAAAAATGGTGATTTAACATGATTTCAGAGCCAAAATGGTCATATCATGGTGATATTTATAGAAATCTACCCTCCGGTGCCATCAAACATGGCAAAAACTCTGAGGTCTCAATGCGGTCTTGCTGGGAAAGCCATATCGAACTCCATGGATCGGGTGGATTTTACCATAAAAAAATATGGAGAACTTACCATTTGTCGATGATTTCCTTGAAAGAAACATGGCGGTTATGGCTTTTCCCTGCCATGTCCTGCCCTTCCCTGGGTTCCTTGGGTTCCCCGGCTGCCCTTCAGCCCGATGCTAAAAGAGTGTAGCTGCGGCCACGCTGCGGGCCCCGTGTGTTGCCTCCTCTGACTGTTGCGCGACATGATTGAGGCGACCAAGGACGAGTCCAAACCACCACTCAGCAACACCCCATAGGGCACATCCGACTGGCGGAGCGAAGCGTTGAAGCGTTGAAGCGTTGAAGCGTTGAAGCGTTGAAGCATTAATGGTACGGAACGAATGGGGGAACAGAACACTGACGAAAATTGAGAGCAACCTTGGCTGAAGCGTATGGATAATTCAGATAAATTGGATGAACAATTGAACAAAACCACCGGTCAAAAATGAGTCATTGGCTGCAACACATAGCCGGAGGTACCATCATGTGAGAGATGACAGCCTTTTCAAAGGCTTCTCTCAGAGTGTGCAAGGCAATTTCCTCCAGCATCAGGACGCTAGAGTTGTCACACCGGATCTTACAAGGCTGGTCTCCTGTCGACCATAAAACTCACCATTCTCGCAATGGGAAATCACTGAATTCCTCCTGGCTGACCATCATTTTCCAATGAACATCGACATTTTGGTGTATATAACTGTTGCCCAAGCGTATCATATTGTTCCTCATAGTCCATTTTTTTCCATTCATAAATTCATTCATATTAAATCATATTAAGCTATCCCGTTGTATCCACATAAAGCCAACAATTTTTGGTTGATTCATGTTGATTCCATTCCCATGTCCGGTAACGGTACCCCGGTACCCGTCCTGGCTTGGAACGGGAGTTGGCTTGGACCAATTCGGTGTATAGAATGGACGCCGCGTCCCCTGGCGGGGATACCCGACCCTGGTAACATAGACCCTGGCAGCGCCTTAGGGCTTGGAAGATTAGTGTGAGAAAATGATATAACATTGCTATACATTGCTATACATTGCTATTTTCAGGGTTGTGAAAACCATCAAATACAGGGGGCTGCGAGCCAGGAAACCAGGCCTTGGCGACTTGTTTGCCAACTTGCCTAACTGATCTTCCTCTATCAAGACGACCTTTTCTATTGGTGGGTTGAAAACCAAGATCCGCAACTGGGGTTGTCTCCAAATTTGGACCCCCCTGTGATTGGATGGCTTGGCCATGCTTGGCTGACCGGCTGACCAACCTGAGGTTGTAGCCATTGGGCCCCAATACATCCCAGTGATGTTTGAAGTTCTAGCAGAGTCTAACCCACACAAAACATCCGGGGCAGCCTCGGAGCCGCAAGTCTCACCCCAGTCTCCCCAGTCAGCAAAGGGCCAGGCCGTCTTGGAGTCAAAGACGTGGCCAGGGGGGAACTCCTCGTATCTTTCACAGGCCTGGCGTGGCAAGTTCCGTTTCAAGATGGCCAGTTTCACGGGACGAGAGAATTTCAAACCATGGGATCATGGGATCGGGCATGGGATGGTGGTCATTATGGAACTCCCTAAACGAATGGTCCAATAGTATGACCAGCCATTTCTGTGGGTCGGTACCCCAAGGACCAAGGACTTGACATCTCGTGATGTGATATTTGCATGGGATAAACATACCAGCGTATAGGGTTGTACAGGCCCTAATATAGTACTGTAAGGTTAAAAACAATACAAAGAAAAAACAGTTCCATGGGCACTGCTATGCTTATCCTCCGCGGGCAGCCAATGTAGAAAATTATACTTTTGTTGAGATCATACCCTATACTATACAGAAAATTCGAACAACCGAAGAATGAAAAATACCCCTGTTGCTGGCCTGCCTTTAAGGCAGGCAAATAGGACATGGTAATATTTTATATAATATATAATCTGTAATTTGATGGCAGGGATCTCTCAATCTTATATAGCCACTATATGCCACTATTATGTATCAACATGATGACATGCCGAATTATTATAGAGCCATATCATATATCCATCTGCCATGTTGGTAGGGGCGACGTTTTTTATTTGGATTTTTCGATATTTGTTTGTCAAATTGCAGACTATTGTCATAGCCTGATACATCCATATTGGCATGTCTCCTATCTCATTCCTATGACCCAAATGTATCTTACCCCCATGACCCATCCACCTCCGCACTGGGTTGAAGGGGGGTGGCAGCAAAATACATTTTCGGTCGGAAAATTGAACCTCGCCACCCACTCTCCAGTCGACTCCCGCCTGCTTATTAAGCACGTAGCAATATGATGCAATATGTGTTTACCTCTCTTCTTGAACTACCAGCACTGCTGGACACAAATATGATACCCTAAATGTCCTTCCCTAGTTCTGCAGCAGGCGGTGTATCACAAAATGCGTTTTTGCTAAGACCCCCAGCGCGGCATCGTACTTGCAGCAAAGGATCTAATGAAAACACGCTGAACAAAGCATTCATGAATATAATAATTTAAATAACAGAGACAAATGCACAAATCTTTGGCCATCCACTGTCATATTTGGTTGGATAGGCATTTCTGTCAAATCGGATCTTGTGTGCCTTGGTAGGTTTTAGAGCCTTGGGATTATTTAAAGATAATCTGTTCCTAATTACGTGTTGTAGTTATTGTAGTTGCTTTGTTACCTTTTGCTTGGTACAAATCTACATCATGTGGTTTGATTTCTCTTCATTTTTCCTGTTCGACAACCCAAGAAAAGGGTTTAGCCGGACCATCTTCCATACTGCTTGCGCGAGCTTTCCAATATACTCCAGGGTTGCTGGCTTGATAAGTTTTGATCAGATCCTATAAAAAAGGTAGGCAACTGAGGCATTTTTTGTTATTTGCTAGGTATTCAGTGTTCATTTTTTGAAGGCAAGGGGGTGTATGTCTCTGGACTCTTCAAAGAATTGGTTCTGCGACACATTCCAGACCGTTTTAATGCATTTATGGCACTCGGGAGCGCTTCGGATTGTTTTAGGGGTTTGTTTATAGCATTCGAGAAGGCTCCAGACTGTTGTCAAGAATATAGGTTCACCGTTTGTAGCATTTGGGAGCGCTACGGACTGTTTCAATGATGGACAATGTCCACCTTGGGGAGCGCTTCAGCCTGTTTCAAAAAGGTGCGCATACGATATTACAAAAGCTTCACATTCGGGAGCGCTCCGGACTGTTTTAAGATTATTATATTTTTTGAAAATTAGATTTTTGACCAGAAGAAGAAGCTGCATTTAACATAGTCCCTGTTGCCAGAGGGGGGTACGATAGACCCCGTCCTGGCAACTCTCGGGAGCGCTCCGGACCTTTGCCAGCCCATCCGCAACTTTCTGCGACGCGTGCTTTTTTGACTGTTGCCAGCCCATCGGAATATTTTCAATGAGCTGTTAACATAGGACAGGATGGGCTTGCAACTCTCGGGAGCGCTCCGGACTGTTGCAGGGATGGGGTACGATAGACCCCATGCTGGCAACAGGGACTATGTTAAATGCAGCCTATTTTTTTTTGGTAAAAACCGCTAATTGATTTTTTGAAGCATATTTCAGTGGAGCGATTCAGTCGTTTTGTGCCTCGCAGACAAAGAGGCAAAGAGCAAGCAAACGTATGTTCAGCAAACCTAAGAACGTGCTTCGGCTTTGTGGAACTGATACCTATGATCACCGTCCCCATGGTTAGCTAAGTTGGTTTATAAGAAAGTATCTTAACTTTGATTTGTGGCAGGTGCATCTATACTCTATAGTTGATGGGCTTACAACCAAACTGATAGATAATTGGGGGCCACCACTTTGACTGCAGGAAAAGTATGTAATTATACATACAGTTGGAATTTTGCAAGTTCCTGGAAGTTGTGGTAAACATATTGAAGCAAAACACACATACAGTACTGTTTGTGGAACAATGAGAAAGATAATTCCTAAGTAAATCCAACATAGGTACAGTATACATCAAACTGGTATTTTGTGTCGCTCCTAGTTCTAATTTTACCCTGCATACTGGGCCAGAACAGTTGTGTGGATTCCAAACGATACCGATATATACACAAATACCATGAATTGAGCGTACATTATCTCATACCAAGTCTTTGAATATAAGAAGTCTATGTTGATTGTATGTGTTCACTGTCCATACATGAAGGATAGGTTTTGGTCTCTGATATTCCTTGATTTCTTGCGTCCACACACTACATTTGCTACATATATTGAAGCACCTTCCAGATGTAAATGGTTGAAGGATGTTGAAGGCGCGTGTGGGCGTGAAAACTTGTCACGATGGATCCTTGTATTATGAGCAGAAGCACATATACACCCTATGTACACCTATGTCAATATTTGATTGTTTGCCTTTGGACTGCAAGCTGGGTATGAATGCCGAATTTCACTTGCGCAGGCTATGTATATGGTATGCAAAAATGGCGTGTCCAGTGTGTACTGCAATTGCTTGGCATCTTTTTTTGCGCCAGCCAAACACTAGTGATGTTATTTGTTTATGTCTATGTCTTGCTGGAAAACAAGAGACTTGACCATCGCATTATGTGTATTTAAATACACGCGTAAATTGCTAGACATAAGTAGTGCCATAATTTTGCCTTTAATACTGTATGGTCGAAATCATGATCTTGCAAACGCATGACATGGAAGCTTTTGACTGCACCACATGGATGGTTACATATCGGGCATGCTGGCAACTGGCAACGTATATTTGACAGTTGTCTATATGTGGAACAACAATCACAAGCCGGTTAGTTGATATTTGATATCTCAACGAAGTACCTGTCCGAACCCATTGTTGTTTGTCACATTCTCTTTACAGCTAGATTCAGACGGAAATGGGTCCGACCAAAATATTTCAGAATATTCCTATGGCCTTTTTGCCTATCTTAAATGCAGGCCAGGTTGATTGGCTACTATGAAGGATTGTACTACAGTACCTGGTTTAAATTAGAACATATCATCACACATAGTAGGGGAACCATGTGGAACCTATCAACCAACTAGTGTAATAAATTAGTTCCTGAATAATTACCAAGGTTTATCATGGATTATCATGGTTTCTCCAAACACATCTCAGTTGCTCGAAACGTTGGGTTGTTTTCACTCGCATCTGTTGCTGAGAGCAGCAGCTGTCAATCGACAGTGCGCGCTCGGCCGGTCAACAAAAAAAAGCCGGTAATTACAACCCACATCTGGCAAGAAGCGGAGCACAATTATTTTTGGATCTGGAAACTGTCAGATATCATCTAGGCTGAGTGATTGTACATGAAGAAGGAACAGAAACGTTCATGTAGGCAGATGCACATTGTGGGGAATTCCACTCCGAACATGCCGACAAAATATAATCATGTCTTCTGCATGTTCCAAGAATTCTGCACTTTACAGGCTGATCTGAACACCCAATCTGCCAAGATCTGCCAAGTTAGTATTTGCATGTATTTGCTGCAGCCGAACAAACTCCAGCTTTGTCCATCACAGCCTGTAGTTTTGGCCTCCTATTTCGCTTCGCGAAAGTGGGGCAATTTTATTTCAATCTCCTGGGTGTTTCGTGCGCGTTGCCACCCAGGAGCAAGTTGGGTGAGAGCTAAAACACGAATGCTGGGCAGGGCAGGAAGCCTGCAGGCTGTGCCGAAACCGACCTCGATGGTACTTCCAGTTACGGGGATTTTGACCTGGAAGATGTATTATGAATGATCATGATCATTCATGATCTATCATGATATAAATCCTTATAATTCCCCATACATGACCAGCAATGATTGCATCAGACTACCTGCCGACGGCAAAAAATATGGCTCAGTGGCCTCCTCTCATCAGCCTGGCCCAAAATGGCAAAAATCAGAATGGTGAGATAATGTGAGATATGGTGAGTATAACATTGAGTACCCTCTGGTGAACTAACATAACTATGGGAAATCACCATTTTGAATGGGTAAATCAACTATTTCGACTGGGCCGTGTTCAATAGCTATATGATAGGCTATATTAATCTATATGTTGGTTTACCAGAGGCTGATGTGTTTTTTTTCCCCCCTGAATTTTCCATCAAAGAACGTGTTTTTCTATGGAGATCACTGAGTCCAACTTCTGGCAGCAGTACACACTGAAGACTGACGCCGCGGCTGCCGCACCTCGATGGAGATGTAGACATTACAGCAGCAGGATCGGCTTGGTTTAATCACCTATAGCCTATGTGTATATTATATATATATTTATATTATATTATCATATATATATTGTAATATATTGTATCTCTATGTTTATATCATCCATTACCTAGTACCAATGATATATTGTATCCGTATTCACCTCTTTGGCAATCTGCGTGCAGGTCAGGTCACTTGTAGATTACACCAAACTCCGAAATATACCGGGATTTTATATCACTGGCTGGTGTTCCATGCTGAAACATAACCTAATTAGGATTTACATCTTCAAAGTTTCTATGTTTTTAAAATCTTTCCCATAGGATCCATGGTGCTGCTATATATGGTAACATGGATCCCATCAATATACCCCCTTTAGGTTAGCATTAATATACCAGCACCATGGATCCGTCATGGGTTTAGGCATTCGTCCTCTCGATCTTCAATGTGCTCCCAACTTGAGGCCAGCACGGTCACGTGTTGCAGCAGAAACATCCTGCCCCGTTGCGGCATCGACATCGACCACTTTGCAAATGGGCTGAATTGCCATCTGTGTGCTCAACTTCATGCTCAGGATTTCATCAACTGTAGAACTTCTTTTCAAATAAGCTACTGTGTATCATGTATTATATATATATAATACATACGTATGTATTATAAGGTATTAGATGTTTTCACATGTGTTCACAGAAAGAAAAAACGGTTCCATGAATCCACTTTTGTTTTTTGAATAGTCATTTCCTCATCCTACATCCGAGGTTGCAGGTCATGTTATTGTTGTTATTGTTGTTGTCGTTGTCGCTGTTGTTGTTGTGGTTGTGTGAAGAAACACGTATTACTTAATATACATACATGCAAATATACATGTCCAGTTTGGAGACACCAAAACCTCGTTTTGCTCAAGGAGTCCATATGAAAAGGAACGTAGAAATTAGACCCTATGGTTCTTTACCGTAGCTATGGAAAATCACCATGTTTATATATATATATATATATATGTAAACAAAGCTAAATCATCCGTAAACCGTAAACAGACCATTTTCTGTCGCTATTTTAGATTACCGGAGGACTTTTAGTAGGCTACACAAGTCTTTTTTTCATGATTCATGCTTCATGTACAAAAACACTGATTTTTCACTGTCAATGTAAAATATCTGTTATTGTTGGTTAAATTCCGGATGTCTGACGTTTTAACCATTGTCCCTTGTGACTCTTCACTACTAATTATTATTGTTCGAAGAGTCGAAGAGTTATACCTTTTTCTAGCCGAACTCCCGACCAGTATTCCCCTTTGTTATGCTAAAAGACTTACTTATCGTACTCAAAGAATCCACAACTAATTGTGGTGAACTCCCCAGTTTAGGATCTTTGATCTGATTGTTTTTATATTCATGCACATACAGGAGCAACATTGCATTTACGACAGCAACAACAACAACAACAACAACGACAGCAACGACGAAAACAACAGCATATAAAAGCATTGGAATTAGGTTTGTAAATTCAATAATAAATCCGTCCAGTAATCAACCAGGGGTCAAAAGAAACATCATCCCGAATAGGTATAGCCCAATGAGGATAGTTTGTTATTGGCTTTACCTAATGTATATCCATGAAAAAATCAATATAGATCAATATATATATATACATATTGATGTTCCTATCCATGGTACAACTTGAAGGATCATCCCACATAGTAAGTTGTCAATATAGTAAATAACAATAATTATAATCCCTTTGTAGATTGATTAACCCTCTTAGGGCTTACTAACCAGGGATGATCCTCCAAGAACTAGTTGCTCTCCAATCAATGAACAAAGATGCGGTTCTTGTCCGAGAATTATGCAAAAGTGGTAGACATTATAAATATCAAACTATCCATTGATAATGGTAGAGTTGCTTATACATGTACTGTATTGTACACAATTCTCCCATGTTTATCCAATAAAATGCAAGTCCAAGTGTCCAGTCGTGATATTTATGACTGTCTAATAGTATCCAGTATCCATCATTAAATCATTGTCCCATCGTATTCATCTTATTCGACGATATTCCATAATGATATTCATGGGGAAACATACCTACATTTGTGGATTAACCCCTACCCATCAAACATGGCAATGGACCATCCATCATTGAATCATGTATCGATAATTTGCCCATCTAGAATCCTCCCTGTATATATATAATTATTATAGTGGGATTTCCCATTGCCGTTTGATGACTCTGGAGAGTATATCTGTTCAATATCCCGCTGATATCTTCGTTTTGGTTGGTTCAGTCACCATTTTTATACTTGAATCACCTTTACAACCACTGATTTCCCATTAAATCCCATCAAAGCACCATTAAAGACCAAATAAATCCAGTAAACACATTAAAATCATGAAAAATCCATTAAAACATATTAAATCCCCATCATCAAATATCATTATATATATACACTATATCTCATCAAATCACAAAAACAAATCCAGAACAATCCCGATGACTTGCGCACCGAGATCACTGCTGAAGTTCGCGAGGCACGGCGATGAGAAGGACCTCGGTTCCATGGATTTTTATTTGGGGAAAAAACAGGAAACACACATGGAAAATCTGTAGCACATCCTGTATAGATGTTCAATATGTCTAGAATTCCGAGTTTCTCGAGAATTCCGAATGGTAAGAAATGCTTTTTGAGCCCGCTGTGGTTAGGTGGAAGTGAATTTCAATCCCGAAACCCCGAGAAATCCTGGATTTTATATGTACATTTTGATTAAGATGCCAACATATGCCAGCCTAATCAACCTATTACTCGAAAATTATGTCAATGATTGTCAATGTGGGTTTCGTGGATTTCAAGACTCAAGACGTCCTATAGAATCAAGAAGTAAGATCTCTTCTTTGCACATATTTGAACATACTAACATACGTTGTTTTCTCCACACAGGGAATAAGAACAGAAAATCAATATATATATAATAAAATATATATATAGGATTAGGTTTTGAAATGTCATGACATGGACCCAGTGCTAATCCAAAGACATATTGCGAAGTAAACATCTGAAGTAACTTCTTGATGTGCGACAATATCGTGACAAATCTAATGAATATATTCCAGGTGGGGATAGGGAAAAAGGACTCATCGCATCCTGGCCAGATCTAGAGATTCGCCAATGTAGACCCCCAGCCACATTTGATGAAGCCAGAGGGTATCTCATAAGTATCAGAAAAAGAAAAAAAACAATTCCCATCCATTCCCTATGGATTCCTCAGTTGCAGTGGTATGTCCATTGTTTTCTATCCATTGTATATTGTGAAATGTTATAGCAAATCATCGACTCAGCCAATCCAAGTACAGAAAGAAAAACATCTTCCTGATTCTTCAAAGTGACCTCTTCAGCCACCAATTCAAGGTCAGTTACCCTCTGGTAAACTAACATAACTATGGAAAATCACCATTTTTAATGGGAAAACTCACTATAAATGGCCATTTTCAATAGCTATGTTAAAGTACCAGAGGGCAACAATTTTAGGATCACTGAGCCACCTCAAAAGGATCACGAAGAAGCAGCTGGTTCAGCCAGCAGCTGAGTTCCACGCTGGGACTGGAAACCCCTTCGTTTGGAACTACCTGCGGATCATGGAATATCATGGATCGTCTAACACAGCAATGCATCGTGTAAGGCTGACCTGAACAATGATAAACATATCCCAAAATGGCTGGTTGAATCGGGAAATTGATGATACACTATTGGATTTTTGGACTACCCATGGGTACCCTATTTTCAATCACACCCATTTCAAAGAGACGAGGATCCTGAACTCGAGTATGTATATTCCTACGTCGACGTCTCTTTCTTTTTTCCTTGTTTGGTGTTGATTTGTTGTTCATGTCCGTTGCTTTATTCTTTGTGTGTTCCCTGTCATGTGTTCACATTTATTGGTTTGTCCTGTTCTATGCTTCCTAGTTTGTTCCATATGTTACTTTGACACCTTTCTTGTCCTGACTTATGCTTCCCTCCAGAATTGTTCCACTGTCATAGACAATGGTGTGTTCAAGCACTGTGATCCAAGAATGCCTTGAATGGGAAATCAACAGGTCTACTGATTATTCTCTCCTGATGTATCTCTCCGTAGAATTCAAACGGGGTATATGGCTTAGAGCATGGTGGTTGGAGTTGCCTCCATTCCTGCTGGAGTCTCCCTATCATTGTGCGGTTGCTCAGTTGCACAAACCCACGTTTGGTCCAACTTTGATGAAAACGCATCAATCTGGGTAAATTAGAAGAATTCACAAACCAGAAAATAGCTGAAATAAGATGAAATAAGGCCATATGGGGATGATTCCCCCTTACTAGCCATCATTCCAGTGACATCGCTGTGACGTCGCTTAAAAATCCAGATCAATGTCTTCAAAAGTCATCGAGTCCCTGGGTGCGTCGCCATATTTCCATGCAGAAGGGACGACAAAACGTCATCAAATCGAGAAGGTTCCACTGTTGTGACAACCTCGCGTGGCTTCGATCCCACGAGGCGTTCTGCATCTGAAAAACCATGTGGGAGTCTCTCCGGCATTTATACAGTTTCTTCAAGCTGGTTGTTCAAAGTTATCTTTAAAAAAAAACACCAATAAAGTAAGGTCACTTAAATTCAAAAGTTCAGGGCCGCTCTGGCCCACCACAAAAGGGTCACTTTGAAGAACCTGGTCCTGGTGCTGGTGTGCAATTTGGGGATGTCCCGAGTCATTGATCCAGAATTTTTTTTGACGCGAGACAAACCACTGGTTATCATGGAGTATATAGCAGGAGTCTATGGACGGATACCAGGTTTTGAAACCAAACCATCCTGTGTAACAGCTTAAACTCTCTGTGTAACACCACTTCCCATCTGGCAGCTACATACAGTACTCAGTACTGTTTTTGCGGTTGCGAAGCAGTTGTCAACTGAATTCATCATGTTCACCCTCAACAATTTCAGGTTGGGGGTTACAATTTGCCTGTCATGACTCAAGGACAGTCATTGGAGGTTCATCACCAACGATAGGTAAATTGTCAGCAAACGAAATCAGTAGAAAAAAGGTAGCATAATATTTTATTTCTCGCCACGTTTCAGGTTAGATTAGCAAAGATGACAAAGGTTATTGGCAATCACCAACAAAAACCAGCGTCGAGTGGTATTATTGTCACCAAAATTTCAACCGCGTTTCCTTCACTTTTGCAGATCTCACAGGGACCCCAAAAATGACAAATTTCTTAGACTTGATCCAGGATATTGGAAAACCCGATTCTAAAGGATGGGAACCTCAGAATTTCGTTTCCACCTTTAAACATAGCCATAATTTGGAAGTAAATAAACCATAGATCAGACAAACCGATTTGATATTGTTGATGCAATCAAACCTGCCAATGGAAACCCACTATTAAACATTATTTTCCCAGCTCTACCCTCCATGTATAAGGGATTTTCGATTGCCACGTTTAGTGACACCGGAGGATATATTCCCATTGTATCCGCATGTGTTGGTTGGCGACCAGTAGTGCCGCACAAGGCCGTGGCAAAACTTTGAAAAATAAAAAGCTATAGGAGAGGTGAGTTGTTGTGATGCATGGATGGCAAAAGGTGGTTGGAGTTGTGTGTTTTGGAAGCAGTTCTGGTCGTAGTGTAATGTTTTGCCTTTTGTGGTAGCAGTTGTTGTTGTTAATGATGTTGTTGTTGTTGTTGCTGTTGTAGTTGTAGATGTAGTTGTAGTTGTTGTAGTTGTAGTTGTAGTTGTATAGTTGTAGTTGTAGTTGTAGTTGTAGTAGTACTACAGTAGATGGACAAAATATTCAAACCCTGCAGCACGCACTATGTTGAACCCCCGCACCCCCAAATCTCAATGTTTCAGCGCGCGTGTTAGCAAAAGTGATGTTAGGGGTTTGATTTTTTTCGTCCACTGGGGCTAACGCACTTCAGGTTACAATAACATTGAACTTTGGGGGCGAGGGGGTTGTACCGGATAGAATTTGTTTGAATATTTCGTCCATCTACGGTAGTAGTAGTAGTAGTAGTAGTAGTAGTAGTAGTAGTAGTAGTAGTAGTAGTAGTAGTAGTAGTAGTAGTAGTAGTAGTAGTAGTAGTAGTAGTAAGAGTAGTAGTAGTAGTAGTAGTAGTAGTAGTAGTAGTAGTGGTAGTGGTAGTGGTAGTAGTGGTAGTAGTGGTAGTAGTGGTAGTAGTGGTAGTAGTAGTAGTAGTAGT